CCTGAACATACTTTTGGAATGAAATAATATCGTAAGCCGGGGGTCCACTGTATTTATATGCATTTATAAGTGGAAAAAAGGGGTGTTCCACTTTACGGCGGTAGCCTGGAACCTAACCTGCCGTATAAGTGGGGCACTACTGTATATAATAGGCACAATAATATGAGTGCATATTTTGTATATTAACCCCTTGAGGGACTGTGCTGTAGTTCTACAGCTATGAAGCCAGGGTCAGTGTCGTAGTACTACATCATGAGCTCAACTCACTCAGATGAACTGTGAGCAGTAAATAAAATAAATTATTTTTTTTGGAAAATTTTTGAACCCTGTGGACAGGTTTCGGATTGGGGGTCTGGACCCTAAAAGGGTTAAGGTGATTTGTTGTAGTAGATCCTCAAGTGCAAATACCATAGGTGAGGTAAGGGTAGATGAGAGGGTGGTATAGTGTTAGCAGTGCCATTTGGGGTACATAGTACAGTGGACCCCCGCATAACGATCACCTCCCAATGCGACCAATTATGTAAGTGTATTTATGTAAGTGCGTTTGTACGTGTATGTTTGGGGGTCTGAAATGGACTAATCTACTTCTCAATATTCCTTATGGGAACAAATTCGGTCAGTACTGGCACCTGAACATACTTCTGGAATGAAAAAATATCGTTAACCGGGGGTCCACTGTATTGTATCTAGGAAAGGATGCCTACTGTTTTGGTGACTTTCTTGGCTATACGCTGAATGTGGGTATAAAATTTAAGGTTGTAGTCAAGGTAAAAACCTAAAAATTTGTCCTTCTGTGTGTCTTATAATGGGGGAATCATTGATCAGTATGTTAAGTTGGATATTTAAAGCTATGTTTCCAGATAGCATGTAGGTTTTGTCTATATTGAGAGTAAGTTTGTTGGTCGTCATCCATGTAGATATTTTTAGTAGCTCATCGTTAAGTGTCACTAAGCCTTGTCAGATTTTAGCTGGAGATAATATAAGTAGTGTCATCTGCTAATAGAACTGGTTCAAGGAGATGAGATGCTTAACAAAGCTCCTGGAGAGTGAAATCGTTGCCACAATAAAATGTCACATTAGTTGCACTTGTGTCCTTTTACTTTACAAATGTTTTATTAGTGGGATGGATTGTGAAGAGCCTGCCTAGAATGGGCCAAAAGGCCTGCTGCAGTGTTCCTCCTTTCTTATGTTCTTATGTACAACAATTTTGCATGTTTTTGTTGTAAAACAAGTTTGGTAAACAATATCATGATGAAAATATTAGTGCAGTTTTTGTGTTGAATACAATGAGTGTACATCTTTCTTTCTGTCAACACACTGGCCGTATCCCACCGAGGCGGGGTGGCCCAAAAGGAAAAATGAAAGTTTCTCCATTTACATTTAGTAATATATACAGGAGAAGGGGTTACTAGCCCCTTGTTCCCGGCATTTTAGTCGCCTCTTACAACACGCATGGCTTACAGAGGAAGAATTCTGTTCCACTTCCCCATGGAGGTAAGATGAAATAAACAAGAACTAGAAAGAAAATAGAAGAAAACCCAGAGGGGTGTGTAAATATATACTTGTACATGTATGTGCAGTGTGATCTAAGTGTAAGTAGAAGTAGCAAGACATACCTGAAATCTTGCATGTTTATGAAACAGAAAAAAGGACACCAGCAATCCTACCATCATGTAAAACAATTACAGGTTTTCGTTTTACACTCACTTGGCAGGACAGTAGTACCTCCCTGGGCGGTTGCTGTCTACCAACCTACTACCTATAGTGAGTTTACATATATACATTATATTGATCTCTCAGGCCACAAAAGTTACTGGAAAAAAAAATTAGTAAAATAAAAAATGCAGCTTTACGAAAGTTGCCGATGTTGCTGCCACCCTGTCATTGAGGGTCAACTTCACACCTCTATATCTCAGTAAGTACAGAATGAATTTTTTTTTGTTTTATTACATATATAAGAATATCATAATTCTGTAAGATTTTTTTTTTTTTTTTTAATATTCTTGGACCCTGGCTGTCACTTTTGAGATTTGGCCTCTGGACTCTGAAAGGGTTAACGCACCTCAGAGTGATTATTGTGTTATCATCATTAATATAGCATCTTCAAGACTAATAAGACACTTAGTGATTTTAACGTGTACCTGCACGCCAGCACAGTAAGTTTATTTAGGTACAGGTACACAAAGTACAGTGGAACGCCGAATATCGGCCATAATCCATTCCATAAGAATTAATGAAAATACAATTAATCCGTTCCAGACACTCAAAAATATTAACAAAAAATACATTTTTTAAAGATTAATTATAGTTTTACATACACAAAACAATGAGAACTAAATAAAATAAATAAATAAATGAACATTTAAATCACTATTACATACCTTTATTGAAGATTCATGTTGGCTTATGGAAGATAGGGAGGAGGAGAGAGGGAGGACTGATTATTGTTTGGTAGGGGAATTCCCCTCCATAAGGACTTCAGGTATCAAAGTCCTCTCTGGGGTTACTTCCCTCCCTGCCTGCCTGCTACACTCCCTGCCTCCTTTCCACACTCCCCGTTTCCCTGCTACACTCCCTCCGTCCATGCTACACTCCCTCCCTCCATGCTACACTCCCTCCCTCCATGCTACACTCCCTCCCTCCATGCTACACTCCCTCCCTCCATGCTACACTCCCTCCCTCCATGCTACACTCCCTCCCTCCATGCTACACTCCCTCCCTCCATGCTACACTCCCTCCCTCCATGCTACACTCCCTCCCTCCATGCTACACTCCCTGCCTCTTTCCCATCTTCCATTGTTTGTGATCTCTTTTTCATTAACACATTTACCCCTTTCACCACATCAGCTTCCTTGATTTGTTCTTTCTTTGCCAGGATAGAAATGATTGTTGATTTCTTTTCACTATACATCCTGGCAAGCTGGAACACATGCACTTAACCCTTTGACTGTTGCAAGCCCCTTTCTGAAACTGTCATTCTGTCACAGAAGTTTTGGAAAAAAAAAATTATTTTTTCTTATGAAATGATAGAGAATCTTTTCCCGATGGTAATAACACCAAAAGTATGAAATTTGGTTGAAAACTCATGGAATTGCACTCCCGCAAAGTTAGCGGTCTCGGCGACACATACACATCAGCAATTTCGCCGACTTTGAGCCCTGTTTTTGGCCAATTCCATTGTCCCAGTTGACCAATCTCATAGCTATTTCTTTAGAACTCCATTTTTTCTATCAGTTGAGTACAAGAAACCGCCCATTTACCGATTTGAACTACCCAATAAAGTGGACACAAATTGGCAATTTGGCCAATTTCACGCAAATTAAAATAGATGTCAATTTCAAAATAGGGTCCAGAATAAACAATGTAGACATTCTTGGCACTAAAATAACATAGCCTCTGTTCATTAGCCACATCTCTAGGCCCCTCTTATATTACTATTGCTTTCTATTTTGATTTTTTATTCATACAATAAAATACAAAATTTACTGTTATGCAGACTAATGCATTATTGTAAAAATGGTATAAATAATATCAGTGCACTTGTGAAAGAATATCAGACTCCCCAGTTGACATGTATTGGATGTGTGGTGTAATTTGCTTACTCCTGAACATTGGTAAAAAATTGAACATTTCCGCTACTTTGAACTCAATTTGAAGGTTGTTTTCATCGTGAAAGTAATGAAAATCATCTCTATTTCTGTAATATGTTATCCATTTTATCACCTGAGACCATGAAAACGAGAATACAACAATAAATACTATACGAAAATACACCTCAAAGTCAGCATTTTAATCCCAAAAAAACGGTCAGTTTTTTTTTCTCATTATGCACTGCATGCTGCAGGATTTTTTTATGTGGTGCACACTGACCACACAGACCCATTCTCTTACATATGGGCCTACCAGCTTTCTCCTGCTTGATTTGAAGCCGCTAAAATTTACGCGTATAAATATGTCAGAAACAGTGGCGCGTAAGACGTATATATACGACGTAAATAATCAAAGGGTTAATAAACAAGCACAAAAACCAATGGATTTTAAGAAACTGTTTGGATGAATGTGCCAAGTATATGCTCATTCTCCAAGAGACACAGGGAGACAGACTCACTTACATGCTGATTTCCTCTATTCTGTTTATTACAATTAACAGTACACTGCTGTATAAACATTTAAAAATATACCAGAAATGTTATAAATGGTGCAAAGGTGACATTAAAACAATATCAAATAAGGATGACACAAACCCACTAACATTATAGTATGCTCCTCACTTAGCGACAAATTTGTTTACCGACGTGGTCTTAGGAACAGAACTCCGTCATTAATCCTTAAACTGTCCAAAAGTAGATCTACGTTTTTTCAACATTTGAAAGTATGTAAAAAAAGTAGATCTTCTTTTTTTTTTTTCATTTGAAAACGTGTAAAAAACTTTGATCTACTTTTTTTTTTTTTGTTATATTTGGAAATATGTAAAAAAAATGTAGATCCACTTTTGGAGCACTACTGCATGTGAACATAGAGCTGCTTCGACAGTTTAAGGGTTAAGTGAGGAGAGGCTGTATATATAAAATATGAAATGACTTTAACCCTTAAACTGTCCAAATGTAGATCTACGTTCACGTGCGTAGCACTCTGACCTTGATTTTCCCCATTTGAAAGCATGTAAATAAAATCATAGAACTACATTCGGAGCCCCCCGCACGTGGACATAGATCTACGTTTGGACAGTTTTAAAGTTAAAACACGTGAAATTTTGGAAATTTTCCAGACATAATGGAGAGTCGTGCTCAGTGAGAATGTAAACAAACCAGGTGGCTCGTGGTGACTGTATTAGAAAGTCAGGTGGGGGAAGCTGTATAGAGATTTTGGTAATAATTTGAAATGTCCGTATTAGCGGAATGCAGTAAAGCAGGGCCCTACTGTATATACATAACTGCTAGACAAACTTAACATTTTACACACAGACACACAGTAACAGGAGAAAAGAAGCATCAGCTTACCAAGGCGTAAAATTTTATTTTCCATTTCATAGCACTCAGATTGTAATCGCTGATTTTCCCGTTGTACTTCTTCAATTCTCTGGGAGGAAAATATGTATGTGAAATATAAATATTGTATGTGAAATATAAATATTGTATATAGGTTTAATTGTTCAGAACACACTAAATTTACTGCACAAGTGTTCTTCGACTTAAGATATTTCAACTTTACAATGGTGCAAAAGGAATACTTTGGAGATGAGACTTGGCATAATTACTGAGCATGAAGGCAGCAAGTCCATAACTTGTATTCATTTATTTACTTTTCAATAATGATATTCAGTTAGTAATTATTTGTTTATTTACTTACTCAGTAACAGTAGTTATTTATTTTACATATCATATTCATACTACACATTTGACTAGCAGTATTTCAACTTATGATGGGTTCATTGGAACGTAACCACATCATAAGTCAAGGAGCACCCGTATACAAAATCACAAATGATCACAGTATATATTTAATTGTCACTTGCGTCAAAAGTTACTTTTAGTATTGACAACCACTGAATTGAATCTACAATACTTAAGTCATATATCATACGTAAGCTCAAGAGCCACTGTCTAATATAAGTCATGTGATAACTGCCAAATTCTCACCAGAGTATTAGTGTCGGCGTTAAGTTTACGTTGTTGCTCCCTAGCATTTAATTCCCGTATCATCATTTCTACCTCGGTCTGTAATGTACTTTTCTCTTCAATTTGCTTTGCCAACTCTGCCTCCAACTTTTGCTTGCGTATAATCTGTTCTTGCACCAGTGCTGCTGGATTAAAACAGATAAGAATTTACAACTGGTTATTCAATTATCAGAATACTAGTATTAAACATCAAAACTATGAATTGAAATTATTTCAGTTTATTGTAGTATTGTAATATGTAAGTAAATGAACAGCTTTAAAACCAAAAATTTTATACTGTACTTTTATTTCTTCGTATTTAAAATCACAAGAGAATATATATGAATGTGAATATTAATTTTCAGTGCCAGGTTAAAAGTCAACCTTTTAATACTGTATAATTATGAGCTTTATCTGAACAGCTTACTTGAAATATCTTGATAATTAATTCTTTAGGTCTACTTAAAAAATACCACAATTGAAGGGGAAAAAATTAAGACAACCATCATATGTAAGCATAAATCCCATGAAGTCCAGGAAAATACCTCTGATCTATGAGTGTCATGCAGGATCCAGATCAGCCATGGGCACACACTAAAAGACAAATATTACTGAATTGAAAAAAGCCACATCTGGATATTATTATTAATGTAAAATATTAATATAAAATCAATAAAAATTCCCAACATAGCCAAACACAATATTGCTCATATCTTTGTTATAAACATCTAACAGCAAGCTAATCATTCTACTTTGCACAAACGATGGATCCTTATTAATAAAAAATAAGTTAGTAGCCATATATCTAGAATTACAGGATAATCAATCTATAGGCAACCCTTTTTATTTAGGGCAACAGAAAAACACCCCAAAAACATTTCACTGGTTGTGGGGGCCATGTGAGTGGGTATCAAGCAGCACACTGAGGGGTGTACAGGGAATACACAGCAGTACAGTAGTGCATGCTGCTATACCTTGTATATGATCTGAATCAGGCCTGGCAGGTGGCACTGCCCATATAGGCTCTCCTGCAGAGTAACCCAGGCTAGTCTCAGTGCTTGGGGGATAGTGGAGGGGGTGCAAGGACACTGGAGGCCCCACACATTCTGGCAATGAAGACTTGCGCTGTCTTGATTCCGTGGGCAAAGAATCAGACATGTACCAGGTTTGTGGGCGCCGTGATTGCCCTTGTACCCCTCCGGCCCAACCACATCATCCGATGTGGGGAATGCAGCTCCCGTGGGAGTGGAACCACCATTTGCACTTGAGCTGTACTGGATGTGGAACGCTGTGTTGGCCTGGGAATTTTTATTGTCAAGGTTCGTGCGCATAGCAGAGATTGTGCCACCAGTGGGACCTATAGAGATCTGGAGGGAGGAACGTGAACCATGGCGATGGTCAAGAGAAGAGGTGGAATAGGTAAGAGAGGAACCGCTACTGCGGATTTGTATAGGTGGTTGAGGTTCAGTAGATGGCTGTCGCAACTGAAGGTTTACTTTAGTGTATGATCGACCACACACTGAAACTGTACCATCACTTGATGGAGGCCCAGGGGCATGATGGGCACCATGGGGAGGAACAGGAGTGAGATATAAGGATGAAATATGTCTCGGACCTGGTGGAGGTCGACTGCTGCTGCTGCTGCCGCCACCACTGGTGTTTCCCGGATTTGTACAGTTGCTGGTCGTGGTTGTTACTGTTGTGGTTGTTGCTGATGGAGATGAGGGAGAGTCTATGATATTATTTAATAGAGTATTTGAGGAATGATGTGGACTATTACTTAATCTTTCAAATTGTTGTTCCATTTCCTGTAAATTATAAGAAAGTCCTCTTCTTCCTCCATAAAAGGTATCCGCACTTTTTCGACGTTCTGGTGGATCTTTAGTTTCATAACCACTGAATGGGTCAAAGGAATTAGGTACAACTGGTGCTGAATTAGGCATAACTGGCGTACTGGAACGAGACTTTGAAGATTCATGAGAACAATATGGAGTGTCCTGTCTACTGCAGCCCCCTTGTAAGTGTCTTGGAGGTGGCTGTATACCCGCTGCCCTAAGTCCATTAGAAACAGATGGGTGCCACCCATAACTTATTGGACTATTGATTGGTGGTTGGTAAAACACAGGGCTAGTAGGTACAGTAGTTGTGATGGGTGATGTGTAAACTGGCCCTGGACCTGCTACCATTCCAGGGCCATAACTATACACTAGGTATCCACTCGACTGTAATGGTCCAAATACATGGTGTGTTGCAGTAGAGTGATGCAACATTTGAGTAGTTGGAGTGGTTGTAGTAATAACAGGTGTGGTAGGTGTGGATGGTATTCCTGTTCGAATAGGGGAGGTGACCCGTGAATGTGAGGGTGACGACAATCCACTGCTAGAACGACCCCATGGGCCATAATAACCGCCATGATGGATGTTTGCCTTCTGAGACAGCTCTTCTTCACAACGTTCACGGTCAAGCCCATACTGAAAGCAAAAACATACTATAAAATTTAAGAAAAAAAAAAAGCAAGCAAAATAACATTAGAGAAATGTACTGCAATTTATGGATGAATAGCTATATAATAAACTAAATAAAATCTGGCACTTTAAGAAATTGTAATTTTCAAAAAATGAAAGTTGGATGGCCACCGCCCTAGCAGACATTAATAACGAGAAACTGGTTCCTAAATATCGTCATAAGTTTGTCTCCTATGTGTGGGTTAATTGTGTATGGTTCCAAAACCAATTTATCCAAGATCTCATCTCAAGATGACCACTGTCACACATTATTATATGGTAGCTTATGCAAATAACAGTACTGCAATTAGCTGGGGATCAAACCAGTGTATTTACCCAGCCTCCTGGGATGTTAGGTAAATTTCTTCATGCCTTTGTCCACTAGCCGTAGTGGACAAAGGAATCAAGAAATTTACCTAGCATCCCGGAAGGCTGGTCAAATATCACAGGTTCAATCCCCAGCTAGTCACAGTAGTGTTATTTGCCAAAAACTACTTTGTTCTGTGGATGCATTAAAATGGTATTTTATGGGTTACAACTGTCTTTACTGCTTTATTTTAATAACTTTTTAATTAATTTCAATATATCATTAAAGTGATATTTTAGGAAATACAGCCTGCTAAGCCTCAGCACTGTGCTCTTTGTTTAAAGTGAAACTCGAAACCACTTTTAGAATTTTATTTAAAATAACCAGAAGACAAATGGACAATCATGAAATATTATTGATTTCATAATTTGGAAGTTGCAATCAGCAATATCGTACGTATACCCTTCCCCCATTAGTCCATTAACCCCTTAGCTGTCCAAACATAGATCTACGTTCTCTCACCAAGCACTCCAAATATTTTTGGAATTTTTTTTTAAATAAAGAGGACATTTTTTACATGTAATAATGTAAAAAAAAATTTTAGAGTCAGCACTTATGGAGATATAAGGCCATAGTCAGCGCCTGTCGCTTACCTGATGGCAACATGAAGTGCTGCCGCTTGCAGAAGTAATGCCAATATACCTTTTTTCTCATTTTTTAAAATTTATATTCAGTGGTCCCTCGTTTTTTGTAATTAATCTGTTCCACAGAGTGTGACTATTACCAAAATTGACGACTTGCGAAACCATTTTCCCCATAAGAAATATTATAAATCAAATTCATTCCAAACACCCAGAAGTATCAACAACAACAAAAATTTTTTTTTACCTTAAAGTTAGATTTACATGCACAAAAGAATGAACATTCAACATGACAGTTACCTTTACTGAAGGCTGTAGTTGATGGATGGAAGACAGGGAGGAGGGGAGAGGGAAGAGAGGTTATTGTTCGGAAGGGAAATCCCCCTCCTTAAGGACTCTACATACCAAGTCCTTATCAGGGGTCACTTTCCTAACTTAACCCTTTGACTGTCGAAGGGCCCAATCCTGAAGTTGCTCCTGGTGTCGCAAAATATTCGAAAAAAAAAAAAATTATTTTTTCTTATGAAATGATAGAGAATCTTTTCCCGATTGTAAAGACACCAAAAAAACGAAATTTGATGGAAAACTGACGGAATTACGCCCTCGCGAAGTTAGCGACTTCGGCGATATTTAAAAATCGGCAATTTCGCCCACTTTGAGCCCTATTTTCGGCTAATTCCGTTATTCCAGTCAACCAAACTCATAACTATTTCTTCAGAACTCTATTTTTTCTATCGATTGAGCACAAGAAACTGCCCATTTACCGATTTCAACTACCCAATAACATGGTCAGAAATTTGCAATTTGGCCAATTTCACGAAAATTAAAAAATACGACAATTTCAAAATAAGGTCCTGAATGAACAATGCAGACATTCCTGGCTCTAAAATAAGATTTTCTTTGTTCATCAGTCATGTCTCCAGGTCCCTGTGATATTACTCTTGCTTTTTATTTTGAAATTTTATTCAAACAAAAAATAGAAGATTTACTGTTATGCAGACTACTGCAATACTGTAATAATTGTAAAAATTACATCAACCCATTCATGACTGCGTATTAGAATGGCTATTTGGACATTTATTGGACAATGACATCATTTGTTTACTTTTGAACATCGGCAAAAATCAAACATTTCCTGTACTTTGTGCTCCATTTCCAGGTTCTTTTTATAGTAAAATTAATCAAAATCACCTCCATTTCTATAATATAGTTTCCATTCTATCAAATGAGACCATGAAAACGAGAATACAACCACAAATACTATACGAAAATAGACCACAAAGTCGGCATTTTAATTAAAAAAAACGGTCGGAGTTTTTTTTTTCTCATTATGCACTGCGTGCTCCAGGATTTTTTTTATGTGGTGCACACTGACCACACAGACCCATTCTCTCACATGTGGGCCTACTAGCTTTCTCCTGCCTGATTTGAAGCCGCTAGAATTTATGAGTATATATACGTCAAACACGGTACCTCACAAACGTATATATACGGCCGCGACAGTCAAAGGGTTAAATATAGATTTACATGTAGAAGAGAATGACAAATAAATGTAAAGCACTAATAAAATGTATAAATGAACATTTAACATCACACTTAACTTTATTGAAGATTCTTGTTGGTGTATGGCAGAGGGAGGGGAGGCGAGTTTATTGTTGGAGAATATGACACTAATATCAACTCTATGGCTAATTTATCTATCACAATTCAACTAATATGACATAATAAACAATACAGTGGACCCCCAGCACACGATGGCATCGGCAAAGGTTAAATCTGGCATATGATACATTTTAACGCAAAAATTTTGCCTCGCCTCATGCGATTCGTCTGAGCACGCCTCAGCTGCCCCGTGGGTGCCAGTGTTTACAAGCCAGCCAGTGCGGTCGCATCCACGCATACAATCGGAACATTTCATATTATCACAGCGTTTTTAGTGATTGTACCTGCAAAGTAAGTCACCATGGCCCCCAAGAAAGCTTCAAGTGCCAACCGTGCGGTTAAAAAGGTGAAAATTACTATGGAAATGAAGAAAGAGATAATTACTGCTACACCACGGCCAGCTGCTGCTGCACCACAGTCAGCTGTTGCTGAACCACAGTCAGCTGCTGCTGCACCACAGTCAGCTGCTGCTGCACCACTGTCAGCTGTTGCTGCACCACAGCTGCTGCTACACCACCATCAGCTGTTGCTGCACCACCATCAGCTGTTGCTGCACCACAGCTGCTGTTACACCACCATCAGCTGTTGCTGCACCACCATCAGCTGTTGCTGCACCAGTCAGCTGCTGCTGCACCACCATCAGCTGTTGCTGCACCACAGTCAGCTGCTGCTACACCACCATCAGCTGTTGCTGCACCAGTCAGCTGCTGCTGCACCACGGTCAGCTGCTGCTGCACCATGGTCAGCTGCTGCTGCACCACAGTCAGCTGCTGCTGCACCACCATCAGCTGTTTCTGACCAAAATGACTCATCCCAAACCTGTCCATCCAGCCCTGCCGTCACTGTTTACAAGCCAGGGTGGCCACTTGCATGCATACATTCGATACATTTTGTATTATTCCATTGTTTATAGTGCTTGTAACTGCTAAATAAGCCACCATGGGCCCAAAGAAAGCTTCTAGTGCCAACCCCGTGGTAAAAAGGGTGAGAAATATGTACTATTGTACCACGGTCAGCTGCTGCTGCACCACCGTCAGCTGTTGCTGCACCACAGTCGGCTGTTGCTGCACCACAGTCGGCTGTTGCTACACCACAGTCAGCTGTTCCTGCACCACGGTCAGCTGTTCCTGCACCAGTCAGCTGTTGCTGAACCACGGTCAGCTGCTGTTGCACCACGGTCAGCTGTTGCTGCACCACAGTCAGCTGCTGCTACACCACCGTCAGCTGTTGCTGCACCACGGTCAGCTGTTGCTGCACCAGTCAGCTGTTGCTGAACCACGGTGAGCTGGTGTTGCACCACGGTCAGCTGCTGCTGCACCACATTCATCTGTTGCTGCACCAGGTCAGCTGTTGCTGCACTACGGTCAGCTGGTCCTAGTGGTATTAAAAGAAGAAGGGAAGTAACCCCGGAGAAGGACGTGCTACCTAAAATCCTAATGGAAGGGAATTCCCCTTCTAAACATTAACAACTTCCATACTCTCCCCTCCTCCCATCCCATCAATCATCACCAGATCTTCAATAAAGGTAAGTGTCAGTTTGTGTGTATTAAAATTAATATTTCATGTGGTAAAAAAATTTTTTTTTCATACTTTGTGGTGTCTTGCACGGATTAATTTGATTTCCATTATTTCTTATGGGGAAAAATAATTCGCCTTATGATAATTTTGGCATACGATGAGCTCTCAGGAACGGATTAATATCGTATGCCAGGGGTCCACTGTATTAATAACAAAGAAACATGGAATATACTCTAGAATGAATAAAATAAGTCATTATGTATGTCAAGACTGGTGTTGCATTGTTGTTGTTGTTGTTAGGTGTATAAGGGCCACTGAGAGCATAAGCCATACATAATGCTGGTGAAGGCTTCAGCTGAGGTGGCGGTGTTTTCTGTAGCCCTATATAACTCAACAACATTGGAGGAGTTAGTAGAATCGCTGAATCATTGTAGAAGGCACCCTCTACCACCATCACAACTGCTACCACCCTCTACCACCATCACAATCGCTACCACCCTCTACCACCACCACTTTCATATTTTTCTACAAACTTTTTCTTGAATTATATAGTGTTTTTCACATTCTTTACCAAAGGGCTGGCACTAGAAGCTTCCTTTGGAGCCATGGTGGCTTATTTAGCAGTTTCAGGCACTAAAACGAATGAAATATTATGAAATGTACCACATGAACGCATGGGATCGTCCACACTAACTGATAAACAATGGTACACTGGCTGGGAATGTAGTGTGTGGCCGCTCGAGGCGTACGCATTTGGGATGAACTATTTACGAGTCAAACAACAATTCATGAGTCAACGCTTTGACAAAAAAACGTTACAATTTCCGAAAATTACGACT